TTGATTTGTTAACTACCAGCCAGAATTTTGAGAAGTATCAAATATAATTTTAGCTTCTTTAACATGGGAAAGCATACCTGTAGGAAGCCCCCCAGTGAGAGAATGCTGGTAAGAGTGTTCCTAGGTTTCATACAGTTTCATGATGTAAATTTGCCTTGGATTTGGGCATACCAGGAGGCACTCAGGCCAGTGACCTTCTATTTCCCTTGGGCTCCGGGGACCAGCTTTGCTGTTTTTGTGCATTTTCTGGAAGTGAACTGCTCAGGCTTTTAGCGTTGGGACGCCAAGAGCAGGGACACTGTGGCTGTACTGTGGCCAAGGACGTGAGGATGCTGATGGTGCCTTCCTTCTCTCCTCCCTCCTCTCCTCTTCCTAGACGCGCATCGGGAATTCCTTCACAGGCCTGCATCTGGATACGTGCCAGAGGAGATCTGGAAGAAAGCTGGTAAGAATTGTTTCAAAACACAAGTTTGGTGTTCTGGCAGCTGTGTGCAGTTGTTAACGCAGTGATGTGAAGAATGACAAGAAAGGACTTCAGTGCTAACAACAACAATAGCAAAAACAAAACAAAACAAAAACCGGCAACACAAAACAAAAAAATAAAACAAAAAACCCCTCATTAATGTTCTTAAACCAGTCTTGATTACAATGTGAAATAGTTTTTATTTTAGTAGCATCTGCTAGTGCCATTATAATTGAAAAGCTGGCACCATTTCCTTTCTAAATCTCTTTTTCAGGGGCTATAATGGCTGCAGGCTGAAATAGGAGGTCCTGGCTTACAGGCAGTTTTTCTTTAATGAAAAAGCCCCAGAGTTTTGGAAATTAAGTTGCACACTTCAGCGTTTTCTCTGTGTTCTTTGAAGAGATCACATCAAATCTAGTTGACTTGTTAAGCTTACAATCAACTTACAGAATTGATCTGTGTTGATCAATATTCAGTGATCAGAGTGAAATTACTTTAAAAGACCATGTTGCCGGGCTTCTCTGTTTACTTTTCGACTGCAGGGCCACTTTCCATTACGAGATGTGTCTCTGTATTTTGCAGCAGAAGCTCCTGACCCATCCACTTATTATTTAGGCTTAAAAGAAGCTCAAATCTGGCAGATTTGCGGTGGGCACCAGCTGAGCAAAAACCTACCAAAGCCCAACTGAGGACATACAGCATAAGCCTGTTTGAAGAGTTGAAGAGTCTGAAAAACACAATGGCTTGGAGCCGCTGTGATGTCCACTGTTAGGATAGTCGGCTCGAGTCTGGAAACTGGGAAATGCTGTTTCTGCAGTCAAATGAGTGCAGGGTTGGCAGCACTAGTGAGAGATGGAGAAAGTGTTCTGTTACTGTTTGGTGCAAATAGTTTCTCTTTAGGTTTTTATTTGATTCAGCTGTGTTCTGTGCATCTTGCTGAATCTCTGGTTACTTGTTTGCTTGTTCGTTTATTTATATAACAGAGGACAGTTTATTTGGGAAAAGAAAGGAGGTAGAGATCTATTTCGTGTGGCTGGGGGCATCAGACTAGAAGTGCATGAGCCTCAGGGATTAGTGCTTCTCCCATCCCCCAGATGGGAAGTTATTTGTGTTTTAGCCAAGAATTTTTATACATATTTTAAGAAATGCTGGTTGTTTTTTTTTTGGTTAGAGTGATAAGAAACTTCAAAATCTTGTCAGAGGTGGTGTTGTATGCCTCTAATTTCAACTCTTCAGGAGGCTGAGGCAGGAGGATAGCTGTGAATCCAAGGCCAACCTGACCGACATAGTGGATTTAAGGCTAGCTTTACCTACAAAGCAAGAAACATACAAACAAACAAGTGCAAAACCAAAAATCCCAAAGGTTTAAAATCTGTAGTAGTCTTAAATTTAGTAGTTTAGATTAAGAGCCAGAACGCTTTCTTACCTGTCCAGAAATCAAATCATGTGGACCAGTTCAGCCTACATGCTAATGTAAGCACAGTGCACACCCATTCTGTAGTATCCCATCTGTGCTAGTGTGTGTATCATTTTTGCAAGCTATTCAAAACATTCTGGTGTTACCTAGCTGTAAGAGTGGCTACAACTTCCTTCTGACCATTTTTCTTATCCCTTTTTAAGCTGTTAGTCCATGCTATTCCAATAAGAAGTACAAAGAATTGTCATTTTGGACAGCAAAAAGGTGACTTTTTATGTCAAGGGGAGAATGTTTCTTTATTTCCCTTACCTGTATTTATGTTAAAATTCTTGATAGTTCTTAAAGGAAAATTGGCAGCAAGGTCTTACAGCAAGGTGTAATCCAAATTCCTCCTGTGCTATTATTATCTACTCAAGTCTTTGTTGGACTGCTATTAAGTAAGAGCAGATTTTTCTGAATATACCACCTTTGTTGGAAGGTGAACTTGAATAGCTAAGCACAAAGGAAATCCTACCATAAAAGGTAAGCAATTGGAAGCAGATTTGAAGGTGCACTGTGTGTTTTCCACTTAATCAGGTCTCCTCTACCCTACTTGACATACTGTAATCTGGTGAATCTACCATTATTATTCTTCATTGTCTGATTTGTGAGTTTGGGAACCCAGACTTTAGGTTTGGGGGCCATGGTAGAGAAAGAATACTTGTTTCTGCTAGGTTCATATAGTCTGTAGAAAGGCTTGAACCTCACCAAAGAAGTGTTTGGAATAATTTTTGATGCATCTGTCATGTGTATTAGGTTTGCCTTCTGAAATATGATTTGGTATTGTGCATTTTCAGTTCTTACTCTCTTCATAGTGATGTTCCTAATCATGTGCATCAGAACAATTTTTCTATTGTGCTTGCAGAATTTTAATCAGTACATTAAATCCCTAAAGTATGGGTGGCAGCTTTCCCTGGAAGCCTCCAGCAGTATATTGATCTGGGTAGCCTTCCTACAAGACATTTTGGGCATTGATAGTGTCAAGGAATACACTGTGGTGAAACACCAGTGACAGAATGAGAAATCTGGGATCAGCTTGTAACAGCTGGAAGGCTTTCCCTTCCCTGTGTTCTGAAATTAGCTGTGAGCAAAACAAAAGAAACCTATGAAGCGAAAGCACTGTACACTAGCTTTGTGGCCAAAGGTAGCCAAGGCATTGGAAAAATAGCCAGGTGGCTGAACTCTAATAAAACTTTGCATTATAACCAATGCACTCATTTTTCACTGAAAATTATTATTGCAAGTGTACACAGTGCCTGACATTATGTCATATAGTCTTTTGCACCATTTTATTTTGAAGGTTTTTCAAACTTCC